TCAATCCAGTCCTGAAGTCTCTTAATCTGAAGGACAGTCATTTTCAGTCTACTGACAGTGTAACTCCTACGGTAGGAGTCAGTGAGGTGGATGGAGGGCTGATGTCATGGTTACCAGGGTGAAATGGCTGGGGCAGGTGGTACCGCTGGAGGCCCAGGCCACGGCAGTGATTGGCCTGCTGGAGGCGCTGGACACAGACATCTGAGAGAGAGAGAGACAGAGAGAGAGAGAGAGAGAGAGAGAGACTTCAGTCCAGACTGAATTCAGGACAGCATCTATTCCAGAATAACAGTTCCTACCTTCATAATCTCATCATGAACTCCAGATAAGAAAATAGCATCACACAAACATCCTAACGAGACTAAACCTGTCCTAACTTTAGGATGAACCCCAACAGGGTCCTCACTTCTGTTTAAGGTCCGTTTCTATGGTTTTTAGGCAGCTGAGTCAGCAGCATAGTTCACTACCAGCATAATGAGCTCCATTTATTTCTACTGTAAAACGCTGCTTTCACTGTGAGATGATTTTCTTTTCTAACTCTGCGTTTTAAAGATCTCAGACACTGCAGACTCGATCTCCACCGCCCCTCTGATCACCTTCGTGTGTTAATGTTGATGATGAAATATTACAGTGATGGTGGTGAATAATGAGGAGACAGAGCTGAACGTGTGTCTGTTTATTAGGAGGAGTAACGTTAGCGCGCTCGGCTAAAGCGTTTGGGAAATGGAGACTGAAACTGGGGAGCGGCGACGCTCTGATAAACAGCAGGGGGCGCTCTCACAGTGTTCACAACTTACAGTTTAGCACACTTCAGTTCAGTTTGACCTTTTTACCTTATTATTTTGATCACAGATTTATGTTCCAGCTGTGTGTGTGTGTGTGTGTGTGGTCGATTGCTAGGAAACAGACATGACAGCTGATTGTCGACTTTGATCGAGCAGGTTAAGATTTCCTAACTGGAGATAAGATGCTGTAAGATAACATGAAATTATTTTAAATTTGTGAAAAAATCTTCTCTTGACCTGTCAGATCCTAACTAAGGACTAAAGATTCCTATCATTAGTCTGATGCTAAGATCTGGCAGTTCAGGAGTTTTTAAACACCTCAGTGTCGCTGCTGGACCGAGAACCAGCCGACAGCGTCCTGTGGGCAGCATCCTGTGTCCACTGATGAAGGACTAGAGGATGACCAACACAAACTGTGCAGCAGCAGATGAGCTGTCGTCTCTGACTTTACATCTACAAGGTGGACTGACAAGGTAGGAGTGTCTAATAGAGTGGACAGTGAGTGGACACAGTGTTTAAAAACTCCAGCAGCACTGCTGTGTCTGATCCACTCGTACCAGCACAACACACACTAACACACCACCACCACGTCAGTGTTATTGCAGTGCTGAGAATGATCCACCACCCAAATAGTACCTGCTCTGTGAGGATCCATGGTGGTCCATGGGGGTCCTGACCATTGAAGAACAGGATTTAGAGAAACAGATGGGCTACAGTCTGTAACTGTAGAACTACAGAGTGAAGCTATACGGTCAGTGGAGCTGATAAAGTGGACAGTGAGTGTAGAAACAAGGAGCTGAACTTAATGAAGTGCTGGGTGTATGTAAATCGCCTGATCTGCCCACCAGAAGAGCTACAGCAGTAAGTCTGACTGATAGAACTGGTTTCAGCCGTTCGGTCAGCAGTAAAGCGCTGCGGTCAGCGTCCACTTCCCCTCAGCGGAGAGCAGAAAAACTATTTAAGCATGCAGTGGTTCCATACAGAACTCTTGGTTCTAAACAGAACTGCTCCCTTTACTAAAGAACCACCTTTTTAAGAGGGAACGACAACACAGCTTTTTCAAAAGCAGTAAAGGAAAATAAAAACATTCACAAAAGCAGTGAAAGAGTCTCCAATACCATCATGTCTTCCACCTCACCTGGTCACCTGGTCAGTAAAGGTGTGCTGGCCTCACCTGGTCACCAGTTCACCTGGTCAGTAAAGGTGTGCTGGCCTCACCTGGTCACCAGTTCACCTGGTCAGTAAAGGTGTGCTGGCCTCACCTGGTCACCAGTTCACCTGGTAAATAAAGGTGTGCTGGGAGTTCCAGGTGTGTTCAGTGAGGTTAGGTTAAGTAGGTTATCGTCATATCTAGTCTTAATCATGTTCATCTTGTAAATGAGCCACTAAAACCGACCCTAAGGTGCAGAACTCCTCCAGAACTGTGTGTGTTCTGCTGTACAGCCTCTGTTTATCCCGGGTGAAGCTGTTTATACAGCGGCTCGCTGAAGATTAGCCACATCAGCAGTGACTACCTTTGAAAACGGCATTTTAAAGTGGATTTAAGACAAATATGACGACAGAAATGTCGAAACGTAGCCGGCGGTACTCACCGTGTTCTTGGGGTTGAGTGTTTGTCCGTGAAGAATCCTCTCCTGGAGCGGGAAACCTGGAGACTTTCCCAAAAACACCCAAACTTTTCCTGAAGAACGAAGAGGAAGTGAGGAGCGTCTCCGGACTACAACTCCCAGCATGCACAACGGTGGAAAAACACGGAAGCGGCAGCTGTGACGATCTCTCTATGTCTCTCTTTTTCTCTCTCTCTCTCTCTTTCTAAACAGTCCTAAACAACATTTTATTCGACTCTAAAATGTTCTCAGCTCTAAACAGCGCTAAATAACGTGTAAATGTAAAAGTGCGGACAATATTTATGCACTAAACTTTGAACGAAGTGCTTCGGAAAACGGCTCGCACGGTGGCGACATCTGCTGGTCAAACACCTGAAACTGCACCACTATACCTTAAAATACACCGTTTTATTATCATATTCATTATGAATACTGGAATAATTATAATAAAATAAAAGTTACTATTTTTAACAAGAATAATCATTTGATTGTTATATTAATATTAATATATTTATTGGTTTGAACATCAGAGAAAGCACCAATGGCACTGCAATATTTAAAAAATATAAAATAAATAATTTTATTTAGAGCATTTGAAGAATATTTATTTAAAAAGAAAACACACACACACAGGTTCTAAAGGTTCTAAAGTGTTCTCTACATGTCTAGAAAATTAGTCAGATGAAGCAGCAGTGCAGGATCGTTCAGGGTGTCATCAGTCCATCCTTCATAAGAACGCTTTACGCAGTATAGCAAATATATTTACATCAATATACTCTTCCATATAAAATGCCTCTGCTCTCTCATGCAGCAGGCATGAGTGTCAGCTGACAAATTTCCAGCATTGGAAATACGAGCATCAATAAACACATAATGAATAAATAAATGGATACATTTTAGGTGGATGTAGTAAAACTGGCATATTGACAAATCTGCTCTGCTTGAATGGAAATGTGCAGCATGAATAAGTAAGATTATGTATTTTTTTGAGTGTGCAGTGCACCTTATTACACACTTCACACTCATTTTTAACCACAATAATTTATGTCCATTTTACCATCTTGGGTGTAAATATGCCTCAGTACGTACTAATGTACTATTACACGCTACAAACGTGACTTAATATAAATGACAAAGCAGACTTACTCGTCCCTCCAGAGAGCACGTCTCCACTGCTCTAGAGTCCAGTGGCGGCGCTTTACACCACTGCATTCGACGCTTTGCATTGCGCTTGGTGATGTAAGGCTTGGATGCAGCTGCTCGGCCATGGAAACCCATTCATGAAGCTCTCTACGCTGTTCTTGAGCTGATCTGAAGGCCACATGAAGTTTGGAGGTCTGCAGCGATTGACTCTGCAGAAAGTTGGTGACCTCTGCGCACTATGTGCCTCAGCATCCGCTGACCCCGCTCTGTCATTTTACGTGGCCGACCACTTCGTGGCTGAGCTGCAGTCGTTCCCAATCGCTTCCACTTCGTTATAATCCCACTGACAGTCGACTGTGGAATATTTAGTAGTGAGGAAATTTCAGGACTGGACTTGTTGCACAGGTGGCGTCCTATCACGGTACCACGCTGGAGTTCACTGAGCTCCTGAGAGCGACCCATTCTTATATATATATATATATGTTTAAAATGCATTTATCAGTATTAGTTATTATCTGTGTTGAGTTGAGTGTAATGAAGGTTCCAGATGTAACTAAACATGCTGACTTCTGTGATCTGCACTGTACTTTACATTAACCAGGTACGTCTGCAGTCAGACTCTCACACACAATGTATTTCACATAAACAACATATCAGATCATAACTGCATTTTCACAGAGTATCAATACCCACAACACTCGCTTCTGTCCTGTTAAAGGATCATTTGATCAGATTTAAAATGAAGATACTGGAACACAAATTCATTTCTAAAGGTATCAGACAGTGAAGAGCATCAGACAGGATTCTAGATGTTTTCATACATTTTCAGATGGATTTGATAAACACATTTACATACAGTTATTTTTGTCTGTGTGTAATATTTCCACATACATTTTAAAATAAACGTGTTTTGAAATATATGTGGTTAATATGACAGATATTCTGAAATACATTTTAGTGTTTGGAATGTATTTCAGCATCAACAGCTGTGTTTTTGTAATGTATTTCAAATATATATAAATACATATCCATATTTTTCCATATCGTACTCCACGCTTGCCGCCCCCCCCACTACATTTACAGTTTAATTCAACTCACTGTTGTGACCACACATGACCAGGTAATCAATCAGCCTTTATTCACACTCAGACTACATTGAAGGTGACCTTCATTTACAATGTAGACGAGTCAGTACAGAAATCAGGGACTGAAAAAATCAGACTGTAGAACCATATCAAAGGTTAAAAACAAACAAAAGTAATAAAAAATAGTAACAGTAAATTTTAAGAGTAAAAATATAATCAGAGTAAACCAATAAAGCTGCAACAATAAAATAAGTGACAAATCAAATAGGGATAGAACAACAAACACGTTGATAATTATAAAATAAGTAAGAACGGAAAATTTAAAACAGCGGCTAAGCAGTAGCTAGAAAGTAAAAGCTGATAATGAAATAAATAAAAAGAATGGTAAATGTAAAACAACAGCTAAAACATACCAAAGTCATATAAAAAGTTAACTAAAACAGAATAAAACAGTGTCAGGATGATTGCAGGTCGTTAGAGACTAACAGTTTAAAATGTTCACGTGACACAGTCAGGAAAGATTTAAAGTTTCCTGTCATATAATGGAACACAAAAATCCAGATTCTCATTTTAGTTAAACATACAGTGCAATGAAAAGCAATCATTATCAGTATTGGGCTCTTGAAAAGAATGGTTCTTGAAGGGTTTTTTAGTAAAGAAATTGGTTCTATAGAGAACCATGATCACTCAAAGAACTATTTGCGTGCTTAAAAGGGTCTTTGCGTGGTTCTTCAGATTGAAGCAGAAAGTGTTGATTATGGCTCTATACAGCACCAAAAAGGGTTCTACTATTATGTATGATGTCAAGCTTGTAACAACAGAAGAACCCCTTTTGGTGATACATTATATAGAGAAAAGTACGTGGATGCCCTCCTAATTATTGAGTTCAGGTGTTTCAACCACGTCCATTTCTAACAGGTGGATAAATCCAGCACATAGTCCAAAGTCTCCATAGACAAACACTGACAGTAGAGGGTCGCACTGATGAGCTCAGTGACTTTAAATGACGCACTGTCACATTTCTCTCCTGCTAGATCTGCCCCAGACAACTGTAAGTGCTACTATTGTGAAATGGAAGCGTCTAGTAGCAACAGCAGCTCAGCCACGAAGCGGTAGACCACACACACTCACAGAGTGGGAGCACAGAGTGCTGAAGCGCACAGTGTCAACCCTCTGTTGAATCACTAAACAGTACCAAACTGCCTCTGAAAGCAAAATCATCAAAATAACTGCATGTTAGGAGTTTCACATATTGGATTTCCATGGCTGAGCAGCTGCACACAAGCCTAAGATTAAACTGCACAATGCCAGACTCGGATGGAGTGGAGTAAAGCGCCGCCACTGGACTCTGGAGCAGTGAAACGTATTCTGTGGAGTGATGAATCAGCTTCTCTATCAGACAGTCTGATGAAAAGTTTGGTGGAGGAGGGACGATGATATGGGGCTGTTTTTCAGGGGTTGGTCTAGAACCCTTAGTTCCAGTGAAGGGAAATCTTAATGCTTCAGCACCAACACATTTTGGACAACTGTACACTTCCAACTTTGTGGGAACAGTTTGAGGAAGAACCTTTCCTGTTCCAGCATGACTGAGACCCAGTGACCAAAGCAGCTCCATAAAGGCCTGGCTGGGTGAGTTTGGTGTGGAAGAACTTGACTGGCCCTCACAGAGTCCTGACCTCAACCCCATCACACACCTTTGGGATGAACTAGATTGTGATCCAGACCCTCTCGTCCAACATCAGTGTCTGACCTCACAAATGCTCTTCTGGATGAATGGACACAAATTCCCACAGACTCTCCAACATCTTGTAGCAGCTTCCCAGAAGAGTGGAAGCTGTTAGAGCTGCAAAGGGGACCAACTCCATATTAATGCCTATGGATTTAGAATGGGATTCATAAAAAGCTCCGGCAGAGCTCCATGTAATGTCCATGTAATGTATATAGAACCATTGACAACACATTCTTCATGAATCTGAAGATTGATTTCACCATGCAAAGAACCATTTAAGCATGCAAATAGTTCTTTGACTTGTCATGGTTCTATATAGGACCAATGTCTACTGAAGAACCTTTTCAAGAACCATCTTTTTTAGGAGTGTATTGTTAATGTTGGAGACACTGTTCAGCTTCTACTGGTGTCTGAAACCCACATGTGAAAAAAATCACATTATATCAGCGTCACTCAATGCTAGGAATTACATCACATACTCTCTGAGAGGAAACAACAGATTGTTAACAGTCAACAGAAACAAGGAATGTTTCGCTTTTGCTTTGTGGAAATCACCTGTGTTTTTTGGAAACAATACCAGAATTTCCTGTTGTACCACCACAGTTTGACCACTTTAAATTCAGTGTATGCTTAAAACTACGGCTCAGAAGGGAGAGGAACTTTCTACAGCGTTACACCACATCCAGGTAAACAGATAAATTTAATAAGGAGAAATGCTACAGAATTTGGTCTGATTAGCCTAAAGTTATTATATTTTCTACAGTTACACCTTGGATGATCATCTTACAGTGCTACTTGCCACAGCCATGTTATAATAAAGGCTTTTTAACTCAATGAGGAGCGCCGTAGATGTTGTATTCACTAATATCCTCATACATGCTCACTCATATCCAGATTTTCTATTGTTATGTATTGTACTGTATTGTTTCTCTACTGTTTTAGATGCTGTGCATTTGTTATAACAAACCAAACGGAGGCTGATTGTCAATGTGTATTATGTCTTATTCTAAACCTTAAAATGAAACCTTTATTTCTTATAGAAGACTAAAGAACATTTATCAATGACAGAAAATTAGCTTGGCCAGTTAATTAATAATAAGTTTAATATATACACACATACATATATATATATTCCCAAGTCATTTTGGGCC